AAAAAAAAAAAGGAAACCAGCGGTTTCTAGGTCAGTGGAATTTTGTGGAGAGTCTGGGGCAGGAATGGGTTAATGCCTCTGGGCGCTGTGTGGAACAGGTCACTCGGAAAGGCAGGTAGCTGATATAACATAGAGTCTGTGCATCATTCTAAGTGCAAGGTTTTGGGGAGATGTTCCTGCAAACCAAAAAACTCATCAATCCAAGGATAGTAGGTTCCCTCCCTTTTGTGTTACCTCTCAGCAAAAAGAAAAATGTTCTGTTGCTCTTTGGTTTTTCTCCTTGGTTTCACTCGCTGATGTCCTTCTTAGAGATAACGGAATTGTAAGGAAACATCTTTTCGTAGCCACATTAAAGAAGAGAAAGATTCATGCAATTATTATTTTGTTTTTCCTTACTAAATTGCACCCACAAAATGCATGCAAATGAGGAGATGATTACTGTGTGACTGGTTCTCCCAGGCTGCTGTTAGGGCAGGGCTCTTCTATTCAAGACACCGTTAACTTGTCTCAAAAGATCCACCTTGTTCAATCTCCTCATGGCCGTAGCAACACTAGCTTTTCATTCCTTTCTGTGATGTTGATGGTAATTTGATTCAGAAGCCTTAAATTAGTGATGACTTGGCGTGATGATGAAGTCTAAGCTGTGTGCCATCATTTACTTCACAAAGCAGCGTGGTCTACTAACCAGACACAACACCCTCTAATACAAAGGTTGGAGTTCCATTTCATTTTATTTTATTATTATTATTTTTATTTTTTCTTTAACAGGAATTCATATTTGGTGTGGCTTAACTGTATTTCAGAAGGTCATCAGACTAACTGTCAGACTGCTTCCCTGAAACATTTTTGTGCTATTGTTTAAAAAAAAAAAAATTACCGAAAAAAAAAAAAATTAAAAAAAAAAATTAAAACAGTTGGCGTTAATAAAAATGTCAATGTGAAATTCACCTCCTGATCTTGTGTTCTGTTGGAAGAGTTGTTGCTGCTTTCAAAGGACCTCAACCCTCTGAGGGAACAGCGGAGGTCACATCTTGATGGTGTCTATAACAGCCCCAAGGAAAACCCTTGTTCTCAGACTTCTCCTCTCCTGCTCTCAGTGCTAGGTCTTAGGGCAGCTGCATGAGCACGTACCCTACTGATCGTAAGTAGATCTTGTGTCATCTCAATAAAGATTGGAGTCAAGTGCTAAAGAACTTAACCAGGACAGAATTTGAAAGGTTAAAGAAAGGAGGGGGGGAGGGGGGGAGAGGAAATGGTGAATAACCAGATTTCTATTAAACAAACACCTGAAAAGTTAAAGGACTCTGGAAGAGGGAATAATATTGTGCAAGTGCTGCTGGTGCCAAACAGGAGGAGCCAGGGCAGGATACGTGCCAGAAACGGGCAGGTTTCTAGTTAGTGGAGGTGCAGTGCTCTTGAACAGATCGCATGGTTTGATATCCCGAGGGCTGGAGCAGCTCTGCTGTGAGGACAGGCTGAGAGAGTTGGGGCTGTTCAGCCTGGAGAAGAGAAGGCTCCAGGGAGATCTTATAGCGGCCTCCCAGTACCTGAAGGGGCTCCAGGAAGGCTGGGGAGGGACTTTTCATAAGGGCAGTTAATGCCAAAACAAGGGGAAATGGGTTTAAGCTGAAAGAGGGGAGGTTTAGATGAGATATTAGGAAGAAGTTCTTCACTGTGAGGGTGGTCAGACACTGGAACAGGTTGGCCAGAGAAGCTGTGGCTGCTCCTCCCTGGAAGTGTTCTCGGCCAGGTTGGATGAGGCTTTGAGCAACCTGGTCTAGTGGAAGGTGTCCCTGCTGCTGGCAGGGGGGTTGGGACTGGATGAGCTTTAAGGTCCCTTCCAACCCAAACCATTCTATAATATCCCGAGGGCTAGTGTGGCTACACGGTCAGAAATGAGACTGAAACAGGAATTCTGTTTGTCCTGAGTCATATCTGTTCACTTGCCTGATGGTTTTTTTTTCCCTGCTGTCAGCACTGCAGAGCCGATGTAATTTCAGAAGAGTAAGCTGGTTTCTCTTCTGCTTCTTGCACATTGACAAAATAACATGCAAAGTTGTGATTCCAGCATGACTGGTGATGTGTGAAATGAGAAGTACTGTAGCTGCAAGTTGAGGTGATTTTGTTTTGACTTTAAACAATGCAAATGACATGCAAGCAGTTGAAGGAGAGTGACAGAAATAATAAGCTTGTGGTCAGTGAGCAAACTGAATAGTCTCAGCAGACTGACTAGTCCTGGTCTCTTCTGCATGCAAAGAAAGTAGTTTTTAATTCTTCATGAAAGTAAGTTTGGGATTTGTCCACTTAATATGACTTTTTTTTTTTAATTATTATTCCATTGGAGACAAAGTGATGCTCAGGAAAGGGTCAGGGTAAGAACAGCAAGAGTTATTGTGGATGAGGAAAGATGAAGGAGAGCTCACGTGATGATTATTGAGGATATTGCCCATAAGAATTGAGTCTCTACTAGAGCTGTTGAGGGTGCAGTGTCCCCACACACATCAGGGACACCCACATGACACAGAAGTTAGCTTTGCACAAAGACTCCACTGTATCTATTCCAGTTAAACAGAAGAAACCTTGACATATTCTTTCTTCCCTCCCAGGCAGTTTCATTGGTTTCTGTGTCTTTGGATAAAGACCTGAGTGATGTAGGTAATAGCAGGGTCCTTTATTACCAGGACAGGTTTATAATGGAAATAAAAGCAACACAAGTTCTCCCAGCAGCAGCAGCAGGAGGAGGAGTTTACCCCCATGTCTCTCCTATCACTATCAGGCACGATGAGACAGTCCTGGTGATTGAGTGGTGACAGAAATCTGCATTGAATCTTGCTCCCAAAAACACCTGGGTGAACATCTCCTTTAATGACTGGAACAGAAAGGTTTTCTTAACGATTCCATTTACTGCACACACCCATTTGTTGCTCCTTTAACTTACTTTTTGGATACAGGGCTAATCCCTGGCGTTAATCCTGGCACTTACAAATAAGTCACCTTGTCCTTCACTTGCCTTCTGTTTGCCTGCCTATCCCCCCTCCAACACAACCACCCAAAGCTTGCTTCAGTGGCACCAGAGTTGTTCCAAAATGAACAATGTGTTGGTGTTGCTTTGCCCTTTCTCTTGCTCTGAACAGTTTCAGGTCAATTTAAGAGAAATGGTACTTTTTGCAGACCTCACTTTTGGGTTCTGTTGCAGACAGGTTGGCTGTGCAACCAAAAAAAGAGAAGTAGGAGTTTGATTCC